AATTCGCTGTCGTTGCAGCCATCATTTGGGAAGAGACCTCTCACGAAGAGTGCGAGCGATACCATTACTACGCCGACGTTCTTGTCAAAGCGCTGGGCTACGTATGCAAGAATGCGAGTCAGCTTAATATCATTGTCCTTGCTGAGGCGCTCCGCGATGCTGTGAGCCACTCCTCTAGCAACATGAACAGGGTGGCAATTCTCATGGGCAGAGATGAGATCCACTGCGTTTTCCAGACAGCGTGTCCGAGGTGTTAAGGAGGTGAACCCGAGACCCACTAGGCTAAGCCTGCGCAGGTTCGAATCCTGCCGCTGTCGTATGTCTGATTGCGTTTGTGTTTTCAAGACATCTGAGCAGCCTCGCCTTCGAATCCTTATAGCGATTCTGATGAACATTAGGAATAAGTAGGTTGCGAACTAACCAAAGCGCATGACATTTGAGGAACATTGATGAGAATTGATGTATATCCCAAAAAATGTATCTACCTCTAGACTCTTATCCTATATAAGCCCTACCATTTCAGCGGATTCGCTGTCGTTGCAGCCGTCATTTGGGAAGAGACCTCATATGAAGAGTGCGAACGATGTCATTACTTCGCCGACGTTCCTGTCAAAGCGTTGGGCTACGTACGCAAGGATGCGAGTCAGCTAAATATCATCGCCCTTGCAGAGGTACTCCGCGATGCTGTGAGGGACTCCCCTAGCAACATGAACAGGGCGGCGATTCTCATCGGGAGAGATGAGATCTTTCGAAATTTTCAGACAGCGTGTCCGAGTGGTTAAGGAAGTAGACTTGAAATCCTTTAGGCTCTGCCTGCGGAGGTTCGAATCTTGCCGCTGTCGTATGTCTGATGGCGTAAGGGTTTTCAAGACATCTGAGCAGTCTCGCTTTCGAATCCTCATAGCGACTCCGATGGACATTATGAACGAGTAGGATGCGAACGAACTGATGCGCATGACATTTGAGGAACATTGATGAGAATTGATGTATATCCCAAAAAATGTATCTAGTCAAAGCGCTGGGCTACGTATGCAAGAATGCGAGTCCGCTAAATATCATCGTCCTTGCTGAGGTGCTCCGCGATGCTGTGAGCCACTCCCCTAGCAACATGAACAGGGTGGCGATTCTTATGGGCAGAGACGAGATCCTCTGCGTCTTCCAGACAGCGTGTTCGAGTGGTTAAGGAGATGGGACTTGAATCCATTGGGGCTCTGCCTGCGCAGGTTCGAAATCCTGCCGCTGTCGTATGTCTGATGGCGTATGGGTTTTCAAGACATCTGAGCAGTCTCGCTTTCGAAT